ACTGTATTGTTAGAGTGTTGCCTTGTCGTTAGGATAGTTTACTAAGGACAGTAATAGCAAGTATGGAGAAATATCCCGATTTGTAGTGCTAGGTAAGACAAGTAATGCCTTAACGTGGATGTTGCTTGCAAGAGTTCATTACATATTTGATATTGATTATTATTGTGTGATAGTTAAGCCTTAAGATGATTTAAGTTGTAGTGGATGATAGTTGAATTAGACAATCTACGAGTTAAGATGAAGTATGAGTAAGCGATTCAAAATATTTCCTGGTAGAAAAGCTATGTAAGGAACTTCTTAGTTCATATTTGATATTGATTATTATTATGTGATAGTTAAGCAGTAAGATGATTTAAGTTGTAGTTGATGATAGTTGAATTAGACAACCTACGAGTTAAGATGAAGTTTGAGCAAGCGATTCAAAATATTTCCTGATAGAAAAACGTTGTAAGGAACATCTTACTTCGCGATGTTTCTCCTAGTAAGGTAGAATAATTAATTCTACTGTTGCCGTTTCCAAATTAGACGGTTGCTATATAAACGGGAACATTGAAGTGGAGTGGGGTGGTAAAAAGTTGTAGATATATCTTTGCTAATAAAAGTTGCATCTTGACAGTCTTTTGCTGTGTTGAACGTGAAGTAAAAGGGCGTTTAAGTCAGCAGCTACTTGTAGACATTTACTGGACTTTACCTTGTCGCAGAAGTGAAATTGTAACATGTATGCATGCCTTAGCCCAACTATTGATCTGTTCAGAACTGTTATTCTACCTTCCATTTGTACTTTCCTATTTTATACAACACTATACAGCACTAATTTCCAACATTAGCGTTTATTGGAGTATGCTATCGTCAAAGTAAAGTATTCTTCATAGGAGATTCCAACGCATCATGAGTCCAAAGTTGGAATAGAGTGATGCTCAGGGAGTCTTTGATATCCATAGGCAATCCCCCAAAAAACTGCTCTGTTAACTCTACTCCACATTTCAATGGGCACTATCAATATGCAATAACAGATTGCATTGCTGATTCTCAATCCATTGGAGATTCTACGATATCGTAGATACTGATTCTCAATCCATTGGAGATTCTACGATATCGCAGAACAAGCTTGGGTAGACAAGGAAAGACTTGTTGGAACAACCACAACAATAATTCTCCATCTACCAACAACAAACTCAACAGAAATCGTGCAGCGACTTCCATATCATTGCGAATTTATTTTGCAAGACAAACATGGTGAACCAAATTCTTGAATATCAATCACTCCAACTTCTAGGACTTGGTATGCAAATAAAAATCGATCGTCGGTATTTCTCTTTCTACGAAGCTGAAATCAACCTACTTCAATGATCAAAAGCATCGCTTATACCAGGCTTCTACGTTGCAGGGTTAGATGCTATTTGTGATGTTGTATTTTACGATTGTGCATGATAAAATGGCCGCTGTACTATCGCCAGGCTGATTATGTAGGCCTGAAAAACACTTTCTGCTAGCTATCTAGACGGATAGAGCATTTTCACAAGGCTTAAGAGAAGGCAAGTCCTAGTGATGACTGGATGCGTCTATGTTTACTCATAATTTGTCAATGGCTTTACAGCAATAATCTACCGATGGATTCGATCTGCTTTTAGCAGACTGCATTGGGGGTTTATTGCAGGCTTAGAAGGCATTTGTGATGTTGTATTTTACGATTGTGCATGATAAAATGGCCGCTGTACTATCGCCAGGCTGATTATGTAGGCCTGAAAAACACTTTCTGCTAGCTATCTAGACGGATAGAGCATTTTCACAAGGCTTAAGAGAAGGCAAGTCCTAGTGATGACTGGATGCGTCTATGTTTACTCATAATTTGTCAATGGCTTTACAGCAATAATCTACCGATGGATTCGATCTGCTTTTAGCAGACTGCATTGGGGGTTTATTGCAGGCTTAGAAGGCATTTGTGATGTTGTATTTTACGATTGTGCATGATAAAATGGCCGCTGTACTATCGCCAGGCTGATTATGTAGGCCTGAAAAACACTTTCTGCTAGCTATCTAGACGGATAGAGCATTTTCACAAGGCTTAAGAGAAGGCAAGTCCTAGTGATGACTGGATGCGTCTATGTTTACTCATAATTTGTCAATGGCTTTACAGCAATAATCTACCGATGGATTCGATCTGCTTTTAGCAGACTGCATTGGGGGTTTATTGCAGGCTTAGAAGGCATTTGTGATGTTGTATTTTACGATTGGGCATGATAAAATGGCCACTACTACCACAGTACTATCACCTGGCTGATTATGTAGGCCTGAAAAAAACACTTTCTGTAAGCTATTTAGACGAATGGAGCATATTTACAAAGCTTAAGAGAGAAGGCAAGTCCTAGTGAAGACTGGATGCGTCCATGTTTACTCATGATTGCATCGCGGATAATCAAGTAGAAAACTGGACGATTTACTCTACTCTCTATTTGACTCCTTTACAACGATAAGTTATGGAAACGCCTTGACACCGCTAATCGACCGATGGATTCGATCAGATTTTAGGGGACTGCATTGGGGGTTTGGAGCAGGATTAGTTGCAATTGCTAATCTTCCATTTTGCGATTCTGCATGATTGAATCATCGTGACTACTACCGTACTCTCACCATGCTGACGACGTAAGGTTGAAAAAGTATTTTCTCCAAGCTATCTAGACGAATGCAGTATTTTCATAAGGCTTAAGACTGCCTAATCCAAGTAATGATTGGCGCCGATTAGCCTAGGTTTTACTCATGATTGCATCCAGAAGAGAAGATTTGCATTTTTACTCCATCATCGATGTCATGAACTGCAGCACAACATGTCGACAACAATCGCTTGTGTACTTCTTCAACAGCTTGGCACAACTAATCTGCTAATACAGCTGTTTTAGGCCTGCATTGGTGTTTTATTACAGGATTAAGTCTAAAAATTGGGCAATGGGTAGATGGTGGAAGAGAAGGTTTACGAATGGCCATGGAAGCTGCAAAAGTACTTTCTCCAACCTGGCGATACGAATGCAAGATGAGTGGAATCTTGACTAGGCTTACGACTGCCAATTTCAGTAGTGATTGGCGCCGACTACTCGCGATGAGACAACAGTATATCTAGTGAGACTGTATGGTAAGGTAGAGTAGGATCAGACTGAGCTTGCAATTGGGGCCTGCAAAAGTCCTCGCTAGCGTTGCAATAATTTCATTCCCTTTGGACTTTGGAAGGCATATCCAAACACCTTTGACGTAGTCTAGCAATAACCTTGTTCCTATTCAAATGTATGGGGACAAGCAATGGTGATTTTGATGGACGACGATGATCGAGTTTGTCAAGTCAATCAGTCTTTGCCATCTCGCTTGAGAAGTGTCAAAAGGAGCTTTACCTTGGCTAAATCATTTTGTTGAAGATATCTTGGTGGACGAATTGCAAAAGGCAAATCACAACTACCATGTCTACTGTTGCTCGAGTAACTCAGGTTAGTTGCTTGCTTGATTAGTGTCCTCTATTGTGGACAACTTAAACCATTGGTAGCTGTATGATTGTCGATGATGATTGAATTCCCATGGCCATGACATTGGGCGAGAAGAACAAACTACCACATAAACAGCCATGATCAAATTGTCATCAAGAGGACAACGACCGCCAACTATTTTCTCATGCTATGTCGCGGACTATTTTTCTCATCCTATGTCATCTTCTCTTGTCAGACTAATCAACTTGGGCATGTTATGTTATTAATCAATGTTGTTGGATATCACAAGGGGGAGGGGAGGGAAGAAAGTTCCATTTTTTCTACCCAGGAAACAGCGACATTGACAATGAGTTGGATGTTGATTCTATTGGAGAAAGGATGTCAGAATCAGTCGATGAAAATTGCATTCAGGTCTAGATCCACTCCATTGACATGGATAAGTAGGGCTCAATGTCTAAAATGCCAAGTCAAGATTGGAGAGGGACAAACTAGTACAAGGATAGTTTTACCTTCGATTGATCAAACTGACATCAGAAAGCTTACCGCAAAATGATGATCAACACATGTAGTTCAAGGGCCAAACGCGTAAGAGCTACTCGTATTCTCCATCTTTGAGAAAAAATACTGTAAAAAAAGCAACTTTACATGTTGATAAAGTGTAGATATTAAAGGACTAAATGCATAGGAATGTTCTTTTTGCTCAATGTCTAAAATGCCATGTCAGGATTGGAGAGGGACAAACTAGTACAAGGATAGTTTTAGCTTCGATTGATCAAACTGACATCAGAAAGCTTACCGCAAAATGATGATCAACACATGTAGTTCAAGGGCCAAACGCGTAAGAGCTACTCGTATTCTCCATCTTTGAGAAAAAATACTGTAAAAAAAGCAACTTTACATGTTGATAAAGTGTAGATATTAAAGGACTAAATGCATAGGAATGTTCTTTTTGCTCAATGTATAAAATGCCATGTCAGGATTGGAGAGGGACAAACTAGTAGAAGGATAGTTTTAGCTTCGATTGATAAAACTGACATGAGAAAGCTTACAATAAATTGATGATCAACAAACACATCTAGTTCAAAGGCCAAACGCGTAAGAGCTACTCGTATTCTCCATCTTTGAGAAAAAATACTACAGAAATAAAACTACTTTACATGCTGATAGAGTGTAGATACTGAAGGAATATAATATCCATGATGGCTATTCAAAACTTTCATCAAGATCCAACTACCCAGGAACAAAATTACTATAAGTAAATAATATTGTAGAAAGGTAGTCATCCATGAATGTTACAGTCGCAAATAATCTGTGTTTACTATCGAAAATTCATTCAATACAAGGATAAGATTGATGAATAAAATTAAGCAATCTACGTACAAGCGTAGAATTGATATCACAAATAGTCGACAAGATTGATCATTATCTAGGCTCTAATTCGATAGTAAGTTTAAGAAATCCCTTGTCAATATCATGATGGATATCAGAGATGAGGATTAAGTTTCAATTCTCATCTTAACACATATCATCATGGTGCAAAAGCTTCATTTCATAGAGGTAAAAGGAAAAGCTTTTTCTCTTACTTCTATCGATTGGAGAGTAAGTACCAATTCTCATCAAAAAAATCATCGTGGATATTAACATTTAATTTAGAATACTCCACAAAAGGTAGTTGTAACAATCGATAGAGCCAGATTTTGGACGAGAAACCGACTGCATATTTGCGTAATCCATGTTGATGTGGACTATATATGGATGGTCGTTATCGATGAGATAAAGTATACTTACTCACTGCTAATCCTTGCATCGACTGTAGGATAGCACAAAAGTACGACGATAACTCTAGAACATAAATTATTATTGATAGCCTAGGGAATGCCCTATTTATCATTGAACTATCCATGGATAGGCAGTCTATTGACCGTAATAGAGCAACAGAATTGGAACTCTAGTGTTCTTCGTTGATCATTACTTAACTTAGGATAGAAAATGAAATACTGTATGAGAGATAGCCATAGTTAGAATGGAGCATTATTTTGTTGCTCATCATTGGTCATATCTAGCGTATATTGTTATTCTAGATTTCATCTATCGTTGACTGCCTTGAAACGGGGTTGGTTAAGGTAAAAAGAAAGTAATGTTAGTGAGTCAAGAATGGATTCAACACAACGGTATGGATGTCTTCTTATTTGAACAGTTTCTTGAAACACATGCTATTGAAAATGTGGAGCTTTTGGTAGTTGTTACTATTTCAACAACAAGATCGACATCATTTGCTCTATTCGACCTTGTTTGTAATGAGGAAAAATTGCTGTGATTTATTGACGCACTCAATGTTGATCATCTTGACTTTATGGGAAAGATAGAAATTCAGTAAAGATCAACATGACGTAGGCAAAAGAATTATAGTTGGATGTTTCTACAACTAGATCAATGTTGCTACATCTCACATCGTCATCATCCAATAATATGATCAATAAAATCAATTGCAATTACAATTTGTTAAAATTGAATGTCATCAATTGACATCTTTATAAACAACAGGTTATGGACTATGCTCAACAAATAGATTATTATCTTTACATTGACCAATTTACGTAATTACCTGTTAATCATTTTCTCCTTTTTGTTTTTAGCTAGATTCGTCAGAGCTTGACATCGAACTTCTTAATCTTTTCAAATCGCAATTAATTGAAGCGATTAAATACTTCCAGGTCTGTGTAGCAACCATTTAATGTTATTTTGATCCAAGATAATAATATGACGTTTCAATAATGCTATTTACATGCCTGGATACAATCACGATTAATACTCCTGTTTTGCTAGTTAATAGAAATTGTAGACATTTTATACATACTTGGATAACACTTGAAATGCTAATGATATATCATGCTAAATGCGTATATTGTACTCGTAGAATCTGTGTTATACTTCGCATACTGTATGTATTGGTACTTTTTACTTCATAGGATATATTAAAGATTGGTGTGCATGTTTGAAGAGAATGAATCATAAATATTAAGCATTGTTTATGAAATACTTTTCTATACTCGTATGTAGTTACACTTCAATATTCGTTAATGGTTTATAAACCATCAACGGAAGAGAATCAATCAATCTCCTTATAAATGTGTAAACATGGAGATTTGTGCTTAGGATAGCGCTGATGAATCTGTCTGTTATACTAGTTACCAAATCAATAAAGTATACTATTGATTGATCGGTAATAATGTCCCTTGGCAACGTTCAATATCAATAACGATTGTAAGATTAAATCGACTGTATTTGTCTATAATATACAAAATTGATTTTATCTTGTTGCTATTTAGATCAATATTATTGACGTAACTTGAACTTTTATAGTACTTACTCGCATTACATATAGTTACTATTTACCATTTGAATTGTCAACATCTAGGCTGGCTTGTTGACGAAGTACGAGCCAGAATTATTGCTAGCATTACGATATTTAGTATGGAAGGTAATAGACTTATTGATGGTAGACGTAATTAATAATTATCAGAAAAGTAGATATAATCTGTAATTATAGTAGTTGAAGGTAATTAATTTTCCCCCTTTATATCGTCTCGTTAGGTACGACTTTATACTTGTACTTCTCATAAATATTATTCGATAATTTGCTTTCCTGTCATAAAATTAATATTGTAAATTAAATACTGTTAAACTTTATCGTCTCAACTTTAGAATTCTGTATTATCCAATGGAGCGACATTAGGTCAACAAATGCTGAATATCGCTTATCGACATAAAGGTGAAAACCGTCTTGTACTAAATATATTGTTGGTTTATCACGTTTCCATTAAAGTGACGAAATGAAATAAAAAATTAATTAATTAGTAATCCTAATTGAAAAGCATAATAAGCGTTTATACTTTATTGATGTTGTACCATTTCTTGTACTAACAGCAGTAGTCACTCTGTAATCTTGACACTTATGCAAATAATGTAGAAATGCTTTGTAAAATAGGCATACATCTGACTAGTATTATGTATGCTTGAAATCATATTGATAACAGGGAAATATTTTTCATTTTACAATAACTTTAGATAATTCCGAAATTAATAGAATTCAACGGATACTATTTGGCATCTTAACAGTCTTTCTGCCATGGCTGAAAGAAAGACTGAGTCAATTCAGTGACTACGCTCGGAATAATTATTTATTGCGACAAGTAAAGGATTCAATGAATATCCCAATTTGAATACATAAGTCCGCTGCATATTTATCATTAAATTCTTTTTTGACTAACATTCGGCAGGTTGTAAGGGGTATCGCACTATTGGATAATATTTTGACAATTGGGTCATTAGCTAATTTTTTTTCGTTTTTGCAAACTGGAAGGTAAACTGAATAATTTTAGTACATTATGAACTCTTGAATATTTCAGTATTTGAAAAACAAAGATGCACATCATGCACCTTAAAATCGATCATTACACCCTTGATGCTGTCTTTGCAGATATACTTTATCTCAAAATACTTACTGAAATAGTATCCGTCTTCGGAAATATTAATAAATTATGAAAACAGATAGCGTGTGATCACGATTACATTATATTACGGTATGTGTATCAGATCGACATATTATAGTAATCAAATGATTCTTCTTAGCGATAGAAGAATATTAAATAAAAGATTACAATTGTACTCATTAAAGATAACATTACCATTTATACGCTTAAGTTTGAAGATAAATGGACAATTTTAGTACTTTATTACTTCTGTATCTTTGTGGAAGAATACTTTCTATACAATATCATAACCTATGAGATAGTAAATAATATAGGAACAAAATGTAATGGTATATTAATTCAAGAATATACCTTTACTTTAAATCTGAATAGCTAGACTTTCAATATTGTTTCAGCATTTACTGTACTTGGTGGATATGTAATAATTACTTGTTTCTATTTGATAGGTATAAAAATTTATTAGAAAGAATATTAAGTATACATCCTGAATATTCTAATCCACAGTCCTTGAGACAAGTAATAACAACTGTATTACATCTTTCTACGTTTTATAGCTAATCTTGCTGTAAGATTAAACACCTATTTTTAGCACTAATGTGGATTACTATTTGTGCATCAGATAAGTTTCGAATACATGAATAGGGCTTTACTTTGGAATGGAATCACCGTTAAGTGTTTAATAAATTAATTTTTATCAAAATTTAATCGTTCATTGCTGTACAATGTCTCAATATTTGAAATTTAACGATCAAAGCAATTTTTATCAATATATATATTTCTCTTTTTTAGGAATTTTTAGCATTTGTATTGCCTTTAGTTAACATCTATCAAACTAAAATGTTCTTTAAGCAATTACTTTGGAGTGAATTATCTCCTAAAAGTTCTATTAAGAGTACAGACTGTGCATTTTGTGGTGAAATTCCTTGTAATATCTATCAAGCGTCTTGCGGTCATCGCTTCTGTTATTATTGTATCAAGGTAAGCTAATTACAAGGTGTTCACTTGCATAGTTATAAATATGTTGCTATATTAAAATTTTCTGCTATTACCTAAAGACTTATGTAGTGGTTATATCATTGCTCTAAATTTTTTCATTTTAGTCTCGAATGTTAGCGTCTGTTACCGTGAATTGTCCTAGCTGCGGACGTGTTATCCGTGACCATGAACTTGCTTTTGCTAGAGATTAATTAAACGGTAACTAGAAAGGCTAATTAATATATGACAATTATTACTTGGTCATTGTTTAATTGTATTGTTGGTTATTTTCATTGATCAATTAGGATTGTCTACTTGAAATGATGTGGAACATCATAATCCCTTCAAAACAGTAGAAGTTATTTTCATTTTTCGATAATAATTTTGCTGTTGTCACCATCAATTCCAATGGACAACTAATCGTTTACAATGAGTGAAATCAAATACAGCAGTCTAAAAATTGATTTATACCTAACGGTCCAATCATAAGGTTGTCAACCTATTTGTATTAATAATAAACCTTTAAAGCATATTAGATTTATTTTCTATCAGTGCACCTTGATCTAATTTATTTCCTGGACAAATTCGACTCAGGAATAGTTTAGTAAAGAATCATACTGTTGCTGTACAATTTAATTCTCTGCTGTATGTCACATGGCTGCAGAAATAAGTATTCTACTAGAGGGCACTTACATAAATGGCGCCCATGCCGAAATGAACATTGTTTTATTCTAAAGATGATATAATACTGACCTTGACATTGGTTATTACAAATCTCAATGTTGATATGAAGTACCTATGTACGAGTGTATATACATTTTATCATCATTTGCGTTGCTAAGTAAAATAACTTGATTTACATTGGAAGTTGATATTGACATATTCTGTCGGGTATTTTGCTGGCATTTTTAACAATAGCAAAAACGAAGACAATTTATACGTTATATACAAAGAACTGAAAGTCTGCTAAAATAAATAGTGTCTAATATCGCTAAAATACTTCAAAATTGATGTTGCTTAAAACGAAAAAATAAATAGTTCGAAATGATCATTTCTATCGAATTTTATTGTCTCAGTGATTGAATACAGCAAACAGAGATTTTAGGATTTTACGTTTACTTTAGAATGATCATCCACAACAAGCCCATGATATAAATTTATTTATTAATTATAGAATAAATGTAGTGTAGATTGAACGAGTCGGTTGACATATTGCTTAAATATTGAAAATGTTAAAACAGTGTGATGTTAAATCGTGTTACAAATTATTCTGTCAATATAGGTTTACTATAGTTATAAATTAGTTTCTAGTTTCTATTATAAAATTCCATTGGATAAAACAAATTCTTTACAAAGATATTAAAAGGCTAATTATCAGCACTGAGGGCTTTATCAGTATAATGTAAGATATTTAAGTAGAGAATCGTAAAGCAAATTAACAATTACTTGAAATTTTTATGTAATAGGTAAGAATAAATTTGAATTAACAATACATTTCAATTTGTAACTTGCATCTGCTCTTAACACTGCACCATTATTAGATCATCAGAGATCACTTCTACTGATGTTTCGTAATAGTTGTTGTCATAAGTATGTCGTAGCTATAGATTAATCCCTTAATATTAGATTCTGTTAGTTCCAAATGCATATTAAAATTTTTATCAATATTAGGTTTAGTAGTATGATACATCGTTTAATGATTATGCAATTGATATAAAAAGAAATCTTTCAGCATTTGAAAATTTTTATTTTTTTGTTTCTAGGCTTTTAGTGATGCAATTAGATCCGTAGAGGTTATACTCGAAGGGCTTAGCGTCTTCAGCTATATGAGTAACACCATTGGTAGAATTTGCTGCTTCCTGAAAGTTATTATATATGGAAAGCCATCAATAGAAAGGAAATAGGATTTCTTTTGACAATTATTTAATAAATCTACGTAATTTACTGTACTTACATTTATAATATCCCCTATACAATGGCTAGAGTGAGCTTGAATGAAATGCCGGGTTAATTTATAGCCGTAACTATAATTCATAAAGTCTGCTGATCCAACTACAATAGCTCCTTTAACATGCTGATCCTTAATTTTATTCACGAATTGATTGCTATGAGATTGATCAACGACAATAATTTTATTTTTTGCTGAGCACCTTCTTAGTTCATTAACGATTTGCTTATAGGGTAAAGTCTGGTAATATTCTGCAAAGCCATTATTTTCAATATCCAATAGTAACAATTTATTGAAATTGACTGTTGGACTATTTAAATACAAAAACAATGAACGACTACTGCATTTGCACGCTTCGCGAATAGATCGAACAATTTGCAAATCCATAACAGCTGGTATAAAATCAAGTTGCTTATCTCCACCTATGAAAGAGAGTAAAAGTAAAAATGTATAAGGTAGAATGTCAGTCACAGTCTAACTTATTTTATACTGAGTATCTCGGGTATTTTAATCATTATTAATTGTGCGGTTGTAATAATTAGCTCAATATACGTACAGCATAGTATTATGATGATATCATATGCACAATCTTAATAATGGATGACTATAGATGTGCAATTTAGACGGGAAATCAATATTAAAATATATTTTTATTACAAATCAATCTTAGCAGAATAAATAAAAATATTCTCTATTTATTATCATAATTCAGTAATACTAATTTTAAACTCAGCTTTTATTTTAAGAAGTAATGTTGCATATAGAGAGGTGATTATTATCTATACGAACTGCTAAGTAGATTTACTGATACATGAATCTAAATATAATAACGATTATACTCCCTATAATGTACTAGTTTAGGTAAAGGTAGTTGCAAATGACGTATAGAATTATAAAAAAAATGAGAGATTTACCTGCAAAAAATGTAATAATGTTGTCTTTTCGGTAACCTAAATTTAACAGATTATTTCGTAGCTTGATGATATTATCCTGATATCGTGGAGAGGACATTTGGTTATTCCAAAAACCACTGATTAAGATTGCAATCGATTCAGTTTTATTAGTCCCACATGATTTAAATTTGATAGGAGGATATGATTGCATTGCGCTTGCAACATTGTTCCATTTATGGTGATAATTCATTCTTGATTGACACGAAGCAAAGCCAGCCATTTCTGATTGGCAGGTTAGCATTTGCTTATACGAATTATCACTTCCAGCATATACTCTGGGTAAGGTTTCAATCATGGAATCGATTTTGTGATGGAATAATTTAACAGCAAATATGCAATCTTCATTATCTACATATTTACCTAATCGTTCTTGGCACTTATCACGATTTTGTGAGCGCTTAACAGCATAAACGTAGACCGGATGGCCAAATGCTAACTCAGGGAATACGTCAATAGCGATAACGGCATCAGCTACATATTTTTGCTTGCGAAATATCTTTTCAGACAGTATAATTTTTAATTTGTCCTTCTTATGCTTGGATACAGCCATGTAGATATTCATTTGTGTCTTATCTCGATTAGAGATATGCCTACACAATTGTTGATTCAATTCATTTGAACAATTTCTCCTTCGTGTCCATTCCAGTGATGCATCAATCCATTTCAATTGCTTTAATTTGGTTGTAGAAATAGTGTTGTTATTCCAAATTGCAGCTCCATCTAACCTTTGGATATCCATTGCCGTAAGATATAACAAGAATAATATCATTGGCATAGCCAGATGCAAATCAAGAGGCCTCAGTGTTTGCATGATTGTATCAGTTGAAACTAGAGTTGGATAGCTATCAGAAATATTCAAAATGGTCAAACTATTTTTTCAAATTTATCTGCAATATTTCTAATTTTTACAGCACTTTATATACAATTGTTAATACAATGCAAAATAATGCTTGTTATTGTTTTTCTATACCTCATCTATTCAAGTAATGCAATATTGACAAGGTATTCAAACGTACTGAATATCTCTAGAATACTTGTCAATAATATATCAATAGCGTCTGTAGTACATTCCATCCATCATTATTCGAAAATTATTTTAACCTTATTTTCTACCTTTACAGTATATTATATTTTATCGATTGTACTTCACGTTCTTTTTCCAGTTCAAAAGTTAAAAATACGACTTTACTTGTTGTAGTAAATGAATACTTGTTTTAAATTTAGATTGTGATAGATAATATGTGAATTAAAATTAGGTGTGAATTGGCATTAAGGTTACTCTCTTCAATTTTTATTATTTTATTACTTTTTCCGTTAAAATAATATATGCATTAGGAAAGATATATATATATATATAAATAATCATTTATTTTATGTTGTTCAGATGAAAGTAATTAATATTGTAATGACAATTTGAAGTATCATCAGATTTTTGGTGTATCTTTTGTAATCATACCTCAATATTAGTATAAAGTCTGATTTTTTCAGTTGTCTAATTAATTTAAAATTAAGCAATACTTTATATGAATAGTTATTGCTCCGTTGATAATATGATGCCAAAAAAAAACAAAAGAACTGTCTTTCAAAATAGCGCTTGGCGCAAAAATTTTCCAGAATTTTCTAGTCCATTGATACGAAAATTTTCGTCGTAATTAATGTATTGACGTCAATCATAATTGATTTTAATATCAACACTTGGTCTATACTTGAATAACTATAGCATAATGCAATATTATAACATGAAATAGCTTCAACTTGCTGCGATAATATCATTTTATTACCAGAATATGACACCTGGACAACCGTTACATAATCTGAAAACGTCAGTTTAAAAAAATTGACTCTGATTGATTAAACAAAAAAATAACGACGATAATATCAAATCGATGAATCTATTCAAGAATTAAATTATTTTAATATCAATAAGACACAAAATGGTATAATAGATGATTAAGTATATATGGCTATCAAAATTAGCTTAATAACTATTGAAGTAAAGTATTATAAAACAGACATGCTCCTTAAGAGTTGTTTATCGTGTAAACGCACGCAATGTTGAACTTTAACTAACTCAATAATGCCAGTTATTATCTGGATATCGACGATGCTATCGTCTCTATTCTATTTTATCTGCCTTTTCCCATGAAGTACAGCTGGGTAATAATAGAGTAAGATAAAATTGCATAATTCTTACGAACAAGCAAGGTAGAAAATTTTGATTTAAAATGCTCGATTTTTGTTCGATCGTAAAATCGCATATAATCGTTTAATAATTATTAATAATCAAGACTTTTTATTGGCATAAAATGATTCATACCGTGGGATTCATAAATTTAAGATTATTAAAAATTTTGTTGCCATTATAAAACGATCTGATGCGACCATCATCAATAATTATTGCCTTCAGATTTAACCATCTCACGTTAGCAGATCGATCAGCATTGATTTGGGTATTGTTTTTCATCAGCAGTTCGACTATCAATATGATGACGTCTCAGTATTGACGGAACTAAATAAAATTCCTGAATCCATATTTATTTTATCTTGCAGTAATCGTTTTTTTATTTAACATAACTCATTCTGTTACATTTAAAAGCGTTCAATCTTTTCCATGCATTATTTTATGTTTATTTTTGGTGTTTAAAAACCATCGGTATTTAAAGAATATTCGTAAGGATAGAAAACTACTGTACAAATTTAACGAGATGTTCATACAATAATTTAATGTATATTCTGAATTCAATTAATTTACTTTTCTATATTTACTTACTATGATAGAAATAATAGACATCAATCATAAAGTTTTAATGCTAGATTACATGCATATCGCCTGTAAATATATTTTAATGTTCTCATTCTTTTTTAGTGGGTGTCTTAGACCATTTTGATAAGCAATATCGTCTATTATAAAATCTGATCTAATTGAATGTAAGGACACTAGTATATTCGGTTATCTGTTTTCGTCTTAGATCATATTTAATTTCCGTACAAGCATGAAAAGATGTCATGGTAATGCTTATTGTCAATAAGAATATGAGATTAATGAGAGTGCAAAAGGTATTGATTCATCAGTTGATTTATCCTATATGCAGTAGTAAAAATGGATCAAGCACGCATTCCTGCCAAATAAATTATCTTACAGTCTCAGATTACTTTCGCTATCAATAACATAAAGTCCGCTATTGATATAACTTGAAGATAGAAATGCACTGCTGAACTTGGAGAAACAACAACACTTAATTAAGGAATTAATCCTAGCCTTGTATTTAATATGGTAAGATACTTATAAAAAAAGATCTTTACAAAATTAGACATCATGTCAAGATCTGGCTATCTTGAAGGAGCTACCAAAGATTGTCGAAAATAGCCTAGACAAAAAAGTTTATTTTTCAAATTGCATCTAGAATATTCTAAACCTAAGATGTGGGTGTACTATTTTCAGAATGAAGAATGACAGTGGGCAATTAAGAATGATTACAATATAATTCCTATTCAGTTGTAGATTGCGTTATCTTTTTGTAAATGATTTTAGACTTTACTAGGAAATAGATTGGTTTAAGATAAATCAACATGAAGCTAAAATCATTTTTAAAATTATTGACCTTTAATCAGGTATCAGTAATTAATTCGTACATGTAATAGACAATTTTATTCCTGAATGGTAGTAGCGATGAAGAATCGCCATATATAAATGTAAATTTAGAATAATAAGACATAAATACTATTAGCAACTATTGTATATTTATTTGTCTGCGCTAATTAAAACTAACCTAACCTTGATCTAGGCTGAACATGTAACGATTAAAAGTATTCACATCGCATTATCTTCTATTATTAGCTCTTCCTAGTGGAAATAGTCAGCATGTACTAGATATCGCAGATTTAATCTAGTCATGGACATGAATATCGTTCATAAACTAGCACCGGGCACAGTAAATTTATAATGGATTAAGTTAATTATAACTATCGATCAATCAACTCAGCAATTCAATTGATAGTTTCTATTTTATACTATTTGTGATAGGATAAACGTAAAATAGTTCCGTTATTTGGAGTTTTATATTATTGCGATTAAAATAACTTATTCTCGTAAATTTATCTTGGTTTCCTATTCAATAAGTTAATGCGAATTTCTGTAATACGCAGGTATAAAGCTCGCGTGATATGTACAAGTATAACTTCCTAACGGAAGGCATCGTCTCTGTTCCAGTTTATCTTGTGTTATGTTGTCTAGATCAGGAAGCTTTTTAAAATTATTCTTGTCACAGTACTGAATTTTGCATCGATGCACTAGTGTGCATAATAATTGATTCAAAGTCTCATGTCGAAAATAATCAATTTTTTTGTCTCAATTAGTGAATTGTAACCTTAAAATATTAGCCATGCATGGCTAGAGTATCAATACCACAATTCTAGCTAGAAATATTTTCTCAAGATTTAGTAATATCTGTAAATTATGGCATGTGCGCATTATGCCTATCAAGATCTTTTATCCTTAGAGTTGAATAACATTTAAAATAAAACATTGCTATGAATGTTATTTTGAAGTACGATCATTACAAATAAAGTGAACTTCCTTTGTAGTGTTTTTCTAAGGATAAGAGTATGGGATTGCTTTTTATTAAAACTTCTAAATATTATTCCTACTGTCTAAAAAAAAATTGTTATTTTCCTGTTTCCTTGCTGTAGAAATAGGCATTTCTTATAGTTTATAGAGCGCTGTAGATTCGATATAACTTTGCAAGTAAAATATATGCAATGCTGTTTTAACATCATTTTGTCTTTTAAGAATTTACTAGATTAGTCATGAATCTAAATTAATATGATAAGTCTTCTAATTGTAATGTCAGTGTTTTAGTTATGATATATAATAACAAAGGTGTTACGCAGTAATATTGTCATAAATTTGAATACGTTTTCATATATGAATAAGTTACATCGAGTGAAATCTTTCACTTATGATTTAATAGTATTTGCAAGGATCAATAGCCTTTTCTTGGTAATTCTTGGATTGACTTTTAATTTGATATAGTGAGATGATAGCCGTATATCTTTTACAATCGCTGATATTTTGAAACTGAAAATAAATACGAATAGTAATTGGTTATGTTATAAAGTTCTAATATCTTATTACACTGAATTTTAATATGAAATAAATGAACCTTCACCCTACAATAATATTTTCACTTTTGACCAAATA